TTGATATATTTTTAGTCTAAAAACAAATTTTTTCGACCCTCTTTTTATTTGCAAAAATGCAACAATGCTGCAATCAAGTTGTAGTTGTAGAGGAAATATCAATGAGAATAACACCAGGAAATAAGACTACAGGAGTTTTACTGTCAAAGAATCTAAAATTAAGAATCTATAATACTATTATAAGACCAGTAGTATTATACGGTTGCGAAGTATGGAGACTAACACTAAAAGGACAACAACGTGTCCTTTCCTTTGAAAACAAAATATTCAGGAAGATTCTAGGGTCCAAGTAAGATCCTGAAGGTAATTGCAAAACGCGCTAAACGCGAAAAATACAAACATCTCTCAACAACCCCTAATAACAGCATGTTCAGATATCCCGCAAACTTCCATGGACGGGTTATATCCTGAGTCCAGGGAGTCTTAGACTCTAAAAGGGCTGTACGGACATCGGAAGTAAATAAGAATTTATTTAACTATTATAAATTAAACTGATACGATTAAGCTTATTTGATACTATGTGGTTTTGCCAATTAAATCATTATTTATATACTAATATATAATACGTTTGTAAACTAAAATAATTATAAAATAAACAAACAGAAAAAGTAATGTCTGCTGCAAATTAATTGGGAGACCACAGAATCAGTGATAACTATTTATTTTTCCAATAAAATCTCTTTTATATTTTTATCTGGAAATTATATTGTCTGCCTTGAAGAAACAATTTATGACGTAAGTTGAGTGATTTAATTTAGTAACTTGTCATGGTTCAGGGAAAGTGTTTATCTAATGATTTACGAAAATCCATTGTTTTGGTCCAAAACAAAGGACTTTCTGGACATAAAATTGTTCAAAATTTAAATATTCCTCAAGGAACCGTGAAAAATATAATTTTACAATTTAAAAAAGAAGAGCGAAATAGATGAGCGTGTTCTTCGGACACTTATTAAGCAAGAGTGCCTAGCTTCTTTCGAGAATTGTCTGTAAAATGGGTCCATGCTGTTAGTAATTCCAAAAGACACTTGTTTAAGGTGAATGAAAAACAAATGGGATATGGATTCTACACGTAAAGTTTTTACAAGCAACACTTATCTTAATTATTCATACGATTTTTAAATATTTAATCTTATCATCTCACTTTAGGCAAAGTAAAAACTACTTCTTAAAAAGAAACAAAAAAGAAACCGATTTTTATGGGTAAAAGAGTACCGAAACTGGCTTCAACGTCAGTGAACTTCAACTTCTGAGTACATTTGGAATAATCAATCGAAGTTTGAGGTCTATGTTAGCGATACACGAAGTAGAGTAATTCAAGAAGGAAGAAGATCACAAAAATTGCCTCAGAAGAAAGGTTAAGTTCCCGACATCTGTGATGGTCTGGGGCTTATGTCTTTCACGAAATTGGAAATCACCTTTTCATTGAAGGCACTATCAATGCTACGAAATGCAAAAGTATTTTACAAGGAGAATTATTGTCTTCCATTCATGAAATTAAACTGCCAAATGGAGATTTATATTCCAACAAGATGACGAATACAGCAAACATCATGGTAGCAGGACAATGAATATTCCTGTTTTAAAATAGCCTTCAAGCAGCCCTCATCTATTCACTATCAAGACTCTTTGGCAACACATGAAAAAAGCACTTCGAACTAAAACCAGATTCCACCCACTTTCCACCAGATTACTGGTTTCAACAAACATTAGTAGGCACTACGCAAAAGAGAATTGATGATGTTTTAAAACGTAAAGGTGACTCTACACAGTGGTAACGTGGACTAAATAATTGGTCCAATTTAGGCTAGACACTACTTTTTGTTCTAGACATACATTATGATTTCAACAAACTATCGGGAATATCGTAGGTGAATGTCAAGGGAATAGTGCAGCAGACGCAAGGCGTTATGGAGTAAAATACCCCAATCGAAATACACCCGATGGACGATTATTTTTGACCATTAATCGTCGTTTACTGAAAACGGGTCGTCCTATAATGGATGCAACTGATGAAGACATTTTAGAAATCATTGAAGAAGTCCCTGGAACAAGTACAAGGGTAATAGCTGCTCAACTAAATGTTCCTCATGTAAGGGTATGGAGGCGTTTGAAGGATCAACTGCTTAAACCCTATCACTTAACAACGGTTCAAGTTATTGGTTGAAGATTGTCCTAAAAGGATTGGATTTTGCGATTGGTTAATTTTATTAGAAATATTTTGTTTACCGACCGTCTACCTTCAGTAGAAATGAAATAACAAACCATTATAACGAGCACATTTGGGCCGACGAAAATCCTCACGCCAAAAAAACGACTCATCACCAAAGGACTTTCAAAGTTAATGTTTGGTCAGTTCTTTGTCTGTCAAAGAGTATTTGAAAAAAGTGGATATTGCAATAAGGCAAAATATGTGGTTTCTACAATATGGTGCTCCACCGCATTTCTGTGATGAAGTCTTGGAATACCTTTGCAGGCAGTATCCTGGTCGGTGGATTGGAAGGACGCACCTATTTATTGGTCACCCAGAAATCCAGGTCTTAACCTCATGGACTTTTGGGGTTTATTAAAGAGAAAGTGTATTCTGTTTCTATAACAATAGAGGACGAACAACAATTGAGGGTTAGAATAATTGAAGCTGCAAATTAATTAGTCCGAAAAATGTCCGAATTGAAGAAAATGAGGGTCATTTTGAACATTTATTGTAATATCATATTTATAGAGGTTATAGACATTTTTTGTACTTGTTATAGTTTATTTTTATGAACGAGAGAGTAATTAGCATAATTTTAACTGGTATCTCCGACCATTCCATGGGCGTGCTCAAGATTAATTGAAAAATTACTTTGAATAATTGTAAAAAATAAATGAATTATTTCAGTGTTATAAAGTGTTATGTGTATGTAAACAAAAATGACCTCTTTTATCACACACTATATTAGAACTGACTGGCCTACATTAAAAAGGGTTTTAAAAAATTCACTTTTTTAATTTTTAAAAATTACAAAAGAGAAAAAGAGTTTTTAAATCCGTCTAAGGTATGTTAAATAGATGAATAAAAATATTAATATAAAACTTACAGCTACTTGTTACAAATCCAAAGTCAGATTCAGAAGATGAACTTTCAGAACCAAGATTTATAATAACTGGCTCGATCATTTATCAGTAATATTGTCCAGCTTCCACATTTTTTCCTCTTCTTTAATAGTGTGATTTACTGCCTTTTCCCAGTTTTCAGGTTTTACATTATTTACGGCCTCCAAAAACGGCCTTTTTTGGTTTCTCATTTCCTTTATGGTTCTTAGAAATGTCTTCTCCATATGACAATATCGCGTCTTTCTAATAAAATAGACTTTCCTGGGATTCTTTTTCCAGCGGAAGCCTATTTCTTTTAAAAGTTTCCATAACGTACTTCGACTCATTTCTGGGTAATCCTTATCATCTCGAACTGAGACAAGAACTTTATGCAATGTTGGAAATTTTTGTCTAAAGAAGAATTCATGCACTTTCCGTCGAAGTCCTTCTTTAAAATGATATTCTATTTGAAATTTTGGTTTCCCTGGAGCATTACGTGGCATTTGAAAACTACCACATTTATCTTCTTTAATAACTCTGTAAATCGTAGATTTCCCAACACCAAGTGTACTGCTAACTAACTCAACGGTTTCATCAACACTTTCACATAAACGTTTGTCTATAATGATTTAAAACAATTAAATATTAATGTTTTTTCATTAACTGTTAAAGGACCAATTTTTCGGCGTTTACACGGCACTTCCAAATTTTCCATAACACTAGTATACACAATAAACTGCACCTTGCAACTGAAGTACCTACTTTTAGTGAACTGTTTAAGAATTTGAATACGCTACTTGGACCTTCCTACAAAATGGAAAAACCCACTATCACATTTTCTGTTGAATAAGTTTAGAAGGTAATTATCTAGTCAATTACTGTCGTAGATTCCTGGAATTAAAGAATTAAATGTTTGATTGTTGAAACCCTTACTTCGTGGAATGCACTCATTTCAGATAAAATAAAACGTTTTATTTTATCTAAAGAATTAAACTTTATTTTGCAAATAGGTAGGTACTTATTAAACTTTTATTGATTATATATAACCAATAAAATAAACATCTTACATTTCTTGCAAATTCATTAGTACCTGTTAACCTCCATCACTCCGACACTGGCAACCTTATTTAGGGATTAGTAACCCTCACAACTATTGTATTCTATTCTGCTCCAACCATTATACCTGGTGGTCATACTCAATTTAAAGTTGTTTTCCTATATACTTCTGTAAACTTGTTGACAAATATCTGTTTTTCATTGAGTCACCCGTATCAACAGTTTAGGAATTTGTATACATAATTTATTGTTTTATTACTCTCTCATACATAAAAATACACTATAATTCATTTAAGCCATTTATTTAGTTGAACGTAATTTTTTAAAGGTAAATGAAAAGGGCCGTAACTCAATAAAACCTGTTTTTTGAAAAAAGTGATGAGACAAAAAAAATTTAAAAATAATGTGTTAAACTAATGATGCCAGAAAATTCATTTGATTTGAACGTACTCAAAAGTTTAGGGGATTTAAGGCTGCACAACCCCCTTAAAATTTTTCTGTGCGCTTAGATTTTGTTGTTTCTTTTTTATGAAAAATGCTTTCAGAACAAGAAAGTAACGTATCCATTTTATTACAACAAGATAAGTAGTTTAGGAGATAATGCAAAAAAGCAATTTTTATTTTGTAACTTCAAAGGCTGTTTTTTTGTGTATACTTTTGTACTAAGGTAAGTTGTATTCAATCAATTTATTTTTGTCCCCAGAATGCGTGATTTAATTTATGACATACCTTTTTGAAACACCCTGTATAATATATGCTAAACTTTGCTCAAGTTTATAATGTATGAAATATTAATCGTTGGTTTATTTTCATTTTTCCATGTACAATATTGGAAATAATCTACAAAAAGGAAACTAAAAACAATGACTTACCTGAGAGCTCTGCAGCATACCAGATTCCGTCGGGATACCCATCAGTCCTTAGATAATGCCCGCATGCAATGCACTATTTCACAATACAAAACTGAAACCAAAAAATAAACTCATGCAAAAATCAACAGAATACAACTAAAAATTAAATTGAAACAAAATATTGATCAATACGAAGCTAAAATGAAATTGAACTGATAAAAGCAACAAGCGAGACTACTGATAGACAGATAACAGTCGGAATGAAATTATTGTTGTTTAGATTTCCCCTCTTTGGTTTTAATAAATTGTTGGGGGCAACGGGCGTAACAAAACAGTTCTAATTTTACAATTACGACAAAGTATACCTCACACTTCTAATAGTGGAATGTGTGTATTAATAGTAATTTTAATATATATTCAGATGCAAAAAAACGCGACGAAGAAAAGTTTGGTCAGATTCAAATTATTTCAGTTTTTTTTTTATTTTTAGCCCTATTGTGATGATTTTTTTAGCACACTGTGTAAAAATTTATAAATGTTAATTTAGTAGTGAGTTTTTAATAAAACTTTGTATTTGACTTATTATACGGGGTTAAGTCGAAAGGTGGTTTTTTCGATTATAAAGTTCAACTGATACAAGAACTGAGGCCTATGAATGGATTATTGAGCATCAACAAGTGGATGCTGATTTTTGAGCAATCATTCTAAACGATGAAGCATATTTTGATCTTGATGGCTCTGTTAATTGTCAAAATTGCCGGTTGTGTTGTTCTTAAAACAGACATGCGACTGCTGAAAAACAAATGCATCCACAAGGTATTACTGTTTAATGCGGATTATCGGCTGGATGCATCATTGGACCATACTTCTTTAAAAATGAGGCTGGTCAAGCAGTGAATGTTACTGGTGCTCGATATCGCAACATGATAACAGAGTTCTTTCTGCCTAAATTGACGACATGAGGAGAAAATTCAACGCTCCACCAACGAAATTCAGCAATCGCTGTATGTGCCAGTAAGGCCGCGAAGACCATTTGATCCAAAACCGTATCCTATGTACTTTATGATACAATAAAAAATATGAGAGGAAGAATGAACCATGAACTAAGAGACATAATGAACGGAGAAGATATAGTTAGATTTATTAAAGCACATAGGTTAAAATGGCTGGGACACATAAAGAGAAGGAAAAACGACCTACTGATAAAGAAGATCACCAGATAAAAAACAGCAACTGAAAGACCAAGGAGAACACCCAGAGAGAGATGGGAGTACCAGGTCATGAGAGAAATTATCATGACCTGGCACTGGAAGTAGAGAAACTGGAGGGAACTATGCACATATTGAAATGAGTGGAAGAAAATTGTAACGAAAGCTAAGTCATACAACCAACTTTGATAACATACAAGTGGAATGCGTAGTGATTCACCGCAATAAGCGAATCAGAGAGCTCTAAGTAAGAACATTCCGCCTGGAATGAAAGGCCCTGATGATGATGATGATGATGATACAGTTGTCTAATTATCTAATTCCTCAATTAGGTTTTCGTGTTTTTTCTTTTTTTTTTTAGTTTGTTGTTTGTTGCTTTATTTTTGTTTCCACTTGCCCTATTTTCAATAGGATAATGCCATCAAAGGAAAAAGATTAATGCCAAAAAATGCTCTGAAGACCAAACAATTGTCCTGATCACGTAGTGAAAACTTTTTCTAAAGTTATACACAAACAGGATCTGCAAAAAACTAGATCTAGAAATAAGTAAGTCTCAACTAGGATTATGATGACAAACTTATCAGAGTCATAGCGCATTGTATTGGAACCAGAAAGCCAAAATACAAATAGATAATAAACTATCAGAAAAGATAAAAATACTAAGTGGAGTTGGACACGACTGTGTATTCCCCCATATTGTTTAATGTATATAGTGAGGCCATATTGCAGAAAACTATAATTGAGCGAAAACAGGGCACCATAATAAATAGAGAAAAACATCTATTTACATGGTATTGCAGATATAAAATATATTTAGTAGGTACGTACACCTTTGATCTCATTTCAAACATGCACCTCGAACATATTTTTGAGTTCATTGTTCACATATTGTTGTTTTATAAACGGAGATGTAAATATTTCTGCGTTTAAATATAGACTCATGTTTATGTTACGGAGATGAATGAATGTATAGCCATCCTATTATACAGTGGGGACATAAAATCATATACGTTCTAAAGATGTGTACCGTCTACATTCTATAACTGAATTGATTTTTTAAAGGATTTATTTTATTTTTTGTAAGATTACAAGATTTATTGGTTTTCCTTGTATTTTATTTTTAATTTTCTTTCGTCAGCGTACCCCTGAATAAGTTGGGCTTGCCGTGAAAAAGCAAAGTATCTCACTAACTTATGTCACCACTGTTAAAGAATTCTGTAAAGGCAACTTTAGCTATGTAAGAACACGGAACATCTGCTCAGAAATAGTTTCAGTTAACAACGGGCTAAGGCGAGGTTGCAGCATGTCACCAACTTTTTTCAAAATATACGTTAATGCTGCACTAAAATAATGGACAATGAAATGCAACTACATGATAAGCAAATTCCGTAAAGAATACTCAACAATGTAGCCTGGAAATTAATACTAAGAACATCGAGTATCGAACACAATGGTGCTGATACTAAGAATGTATGTTAAATGAAGCTGAAATGATAATCAAATATACCTAGATAACAATATAAGAAGGCGTAAAACTATAATAAGAATATTGGATAGCACAAGCAACAGCGTAATTAATATTCAAGTCACCGATAGAATTTTGTTGCTTTTATTGGGAAGGTCATCTAACTAACAAATTTAGCAGGTTCTGAAAAAATAGTTCAGCGGAAGAATCAGGTGATCTATAAATGTAAAGAATGTATAGCAATAAACGGGAAAACCTTTAAACCTTTAAGGTTTAAACAACAAACTTCCTTAAACACCATAAAAAGAAGACTAATGATTCTTCTACAAGACTCTTATAAGCGCAACAGATATATAAGAAAGTGAAGCGTTGCATTTAAAAAAAAATAGAGAGGGAAAAACTGGAGCTGGATCTGGAACTGGATGGTAAAGACAACTGTTCTGAGTGTATAGAGTTAAAAACACTATATAATTAATTCAAAATTACATGGATGGGACCCATAGAGAAGATCGAAAACAAAAGAATGACAAAAATGCCGCTAAATAGAAAATCTATTTGAAAAAAATAAAAGATCGATGGAGAGTATGAAGGAAGATTTAAAAAACACTTAAACTAATAATATATATTATATTATATATATATATATATATATATTATATATATATATATATATATATATATATATATATATATATATATATATATATTGGAAAAAACAAATGCACTGGACCGAGGAACTTGGGACAAAAAAGTAAAAGAATTTAACGGGGAAACTACATATAAGCATAATATTTGTGAAATGTAAATGTAATATTTTATAAATCAAAGATTATAATACGAACGCCAATCTAGCCCTAGGTCCACATGGCCCGCAGAACTTTACAAATACATAAATAATATCCTCTTATATTAACAAATATCACACCATAAGAATTCCCACAGTCACTCGGTTAGAGAGCAAAATAGAATAATAAGAAGCATACATAATCGAAAATTATACAGTTCTGAATAAAAATTTCACGCAGCCCAGTTCGAATTTCTTAATTTCGTAATATCGATGGATTACGGCGTAATTTTTATTCTTCCGCGAATGTTATGACTATAATTAACAAATAATTGAGTAAATCCGTTTAAACTACGGTTTTGAAGTTTATAAAACTATCTCAAGGTGCATCAGTTGTCAACTTAAAGCGATGCTTCGATGTTTACTTTCACTTCTTACGGTTTTTATGATTTAATAACAAAAACGACCATAGATCAATTTACTACAACTACTCGATAATATCAACAATTAAAAAAATAAATAAATAAGTGCACACGAAAGTCAGGTCTATTCTAAATATTACGTCGGTCAATCAGTCCCGGTCCTAGTAAAACATTTTTTTGCAAAAACATTTCTTTATTCATCAAAATATTCTCCTTTATCAGGAATAAAATCATTCTAACGCTTTTCTAATTTTCAATGGCACCTTTGTAAAATGTATCTTTGCCTTCCAAATAGACTTCAATCCCTTTATAGGGCAAATTAATACAGAAATGATGTCAGATTTTTAGTCAATGTTTTTGATTGGGTATCGTACCCAAATTACAGAAGTTTATAAAAATATTTAAAAAATAGTCTGACAATCTTTTCTTAGCCGGTTGATTTTTCAACCTGTATCCAGTTATGCAAAATAATTTTCCATAAAATCTCTGGTCGAAATTTCAACCAGTTAATTGTTTTCGTAATTAAACAATACTTTGTAACGTCAAAATGTAGTATTATTATTAAAATAAAACCAGACAATAATTAAAAAAAAAAAACATAAAACTGTAAAACCTTATTTAGAAAACTTAATATTTATTTATTGTGGAAAGTGACGAAACATGGTATGCAGAGGGCTACTTCACATTTAGCGCAAAGCTACGCTAGACCTTTTTGAGTGCTTTTCTGTACTACATCTTGTACATCTTCTTGAAGTCGTATTGGTTGGTAAGTGGTCGCCAACATTTGTCAGTCGCACTGTATTCTCAACAATAACCGCTCTACCATCCACCTTTTTTGTTTTATTTTTTCCTATTACCAACCAAGAACTTGGATTTTTTCTTGAAGAAAATCTGTTCACAAGTTGATTTGCCAGAATGCTTCTGAATACTAGTTGTGTTTCAGGTTTGACTCGAGGCTTATTCAAAGGCTTATTCAGAGGCTTATTCGAGGCTTATTCAAAGCTGAAGTTTTGTATATAATATATGCATTTACAAAACTAGCATCTACAAAACAGTACCAAAGTTTCAACCACCACCTTGAGACTTCCAGGCAATGCTGTAACAAGAATGAAGTTGATGGAAAAGATCAACTCCACCCATATTTCGATTATAATCTTCAATACTCTTTGGACATTGTACTGTTA